TGCCAACAAGCTTGCTGTCACCGTTAGCTTTTTGCCAATATAAATTTTTTGGTTATATGTTTCTTAACGACTTTTCTTACTAGCTTTTGCATAAGTACTACGCAATTCAAGCAGCAAATTAGTACAACTAATATTATTGTTTTTGTAAAAAAAATAGCAAAACGAGGCGCGCACGCGTGTTCCTAGGCCTATAGTAAAAATTTACTCTTCATAGCACGTAGAGCAGGAGCGTCGGATGGTTGAGGATACGGGTTGGATGAACGGTTGACTACGTCACTACAATGAAGTACGGGCTGAGTCAGAGTTTGTTTTGGGGATGTTGTTTTTGTTTAGCGTATTCGGGTGTCGCTTGAGAGGAGCTTTGATTGATAGAGCAATTTTTTTTGGTAATGTTATGACTGGTTACGAAAGTAGTTGTGGCTGTTAGTTTGTAACGGGCATTTATTAGTTAGTAATTAGTAGTTTGCGAAAATTCGATTTAATTTCATGCTAAATTTTTCATTAACTGCTACAATTAATTAAACTTTTTGTATTTTGTTGAAGTTGTGTAGTAACGAGTTTGGCAGAATTAACGGGATATGTATTAAATATAGAGTTATTGCCATAAGGTTCGTTTCTAGGTGCAGTGAGGAGCTCAAACATTGCTTAGAAGCAGTGCATTTCAGCAAAAAAAAAAAATTAATTTAGAGGTAAAAGAATTAAACTTACAATATTTAGAGTGCAGTGCGGAAAGAACTCAAAATATTTGTATGGGAGAAAATATTTTGCGCAGCTAATGCAATATGTATTTACATATGTACATGAATTCTTAAAAATATATAAAAATTTTGTTTAAAATAATTATCAGGTCTAAATAAATAACTATAAAAAAATTAAAAATTTCATTAATAAATGAGCGAAACATAAATTTTTAGTTAGAAAAAAATAATTAAGGTAGAGGAAAAACTGTATATAACATATAATATTTAGAGTGTACAATGGAAAAAACATAAAAGATTTGCGGATGTATACATAAATATATAAAAAAAATAAATTTTAATTTTATTTAAAAATTATTTTAAGATTTTTTGATAAAACAATTCATTGAGAAATAAGCAAAACAGGCATTTTTAGCGAGGAAATTAAATAATTTCACTTTGTTATCGATAAATAATTTTTTAAATTATGCACCCTCTGTGCAGTTTGAAGGAATATAAAGTTAAATAGTTTGAAGGCAAAATAATAATAATTATAATTTAATTTTTGTTGCCAGTGAATATAATGTGATTAATTAATATTTAGAATTAGGTTCGGTAAATAATAAAAYGATGAATGCACTAACTTATTGAGTTTCTGATGTAACAGATTAGTAAATTAATGGAAAACATTAATAATACTTGACTGTTTAAACCGAGTCAGCCGAGTGGACGTAAACACAATAGTTGCGTTCTTTATACTTTTTTGTCATCAATTTTTATGAGAGCAAAAACCATTTCATTGGTAAGAGCAGGGGAGAAGAACCTCGGCTATAACGCGTAAGCGGTGTCTAAAAAATAATGCAATATTTTGTATATGAAAGGTATAGTTATTTTTTAACAGTTTCTTCAGTTCTTATTTTAATCAAATATAAATAAAGATTAAAAATGTTGAAAGCTTAACGCGCGTATAAAATGATAGTCCTTATTAACAAATTTGCTTGGATGCTTCACACTCGCAATTTCAGGTATTTATATAACCTCAACTAACTGCTCCTTTTAGCAGACACGTTAGAGTAAACTACAGAATAATTGTCTCAAAAATGGTCTGAAGTTGTAAGTCAAAATGAAATTAAATATATTTAATAATTACTTTTTAATAAAAAACTTGAAGAAAAAACACTTAAAAATATGTAAAAGGCATAATGTCAATATTTACAAGAAGTAAATAAATAGTGCTTAATTATTGAAATTTAAGTAAAAAGCATAGATAAGTGTACAATATAAGCAAGTGATAACTAAGCAACAACTGCATAAATTAAAAAAAMTATAAATATTTTTGAAAATACGAAACTCACCATTTTCGAAACGTTCATTTTTTCCGTTCAACTCTGATGCACTGAAAATCATAGCACAAGATTCGTGGCGTAAATATTCAAGGCTCCTCAGGCGTGCATTTAGCTTTAAAAGCACAAGCCGTAYGTAATTAAAATTAATGAAACCGAGAAAAAGCGCTACAAATTACCAAACAATTTAAAAATTATATCACTAATAGACAGTTTCAACAAATTTAAAATTCTTTCTGTCGTCAAATATACATTGGTTACAATGGCTATTTTTGCACTAAAARAAATCAAATAATAATAATTGAGTTTTCTTTGTTTGTGTAAAAAATATATTTTGGGAATATTTATTTTTTTTCCTAAATAAAATAAATAATTTATAAATTCGCCAATTGTCTTATCTACTAAGACTTAAATTATAATAAAATAAGTATATGCATGTTTATGTGTGTACAATAATTTTTTCATAATTTTGACTAATTTTATTAACATTACGTCTTCAACAGTTTTTTTTAAATAGCAAATGCTTGATAATCGAACACTGTATGCCTATGTGAATAGAAATACAAAAGGTATTTCGAATATTTTGCAGGCACATTTCTATCTTCCAACTRGTATTTGATATTGACTTAGAAATTCATTTCCTATTAAGTATTTCAATGCTTAAAAGAAGATTATGAGTGGCTTGAATTTTTTCAAAAAAYTTTAGTGCAATATATTTTGTGTCTGGTCACTGGCAAATATATGACAAAAATGCTACCTTTCTGATTATTTATATCATTTAAAAAATTTGAAGTTCTAGTGAAAATTTAGGAAAACAAATTTTTGAGCTTTAGTGAAAATTTTGGAAAACTTTTTCGAAAATTTTTACGATTTTTTTTAAGTTACGTCAAATATCATAAATGTACGATGTAAAACGTAAACAGTGCCAACGTTTGAATGTCGACTATGGCGTATGAGTAACTTTCTTCCCTTCCTAACAATCGTTACTTTTTTAGCTTGTGACAATAATTCTTAAAAGTACTTAGGTGTAGATAACGGTTGTAAAAGTGATATAAGTATAAGTACTTGATTAAGCGTAGTTTCTCGTAGTGAATTTAAAATATTTCATTATTTATTTATAATAAGATGTTTTTGATTTTAATTGAAACGATTTAATTTATCTTTACTTTCTTCTCTTACATTTTTTAGGTAGTTTTTTTAATTTTTTGCATGCTTAATATTAATTTTATATATTTATTTGTGTTGTCGGTTTTTGGTTTTTATAAGTGGCTAAATAAAATATTTAACAGCGCTGTGCATGTGATGAGGGCAATTGAAAGAMACAAGAAAGACATTTTTGGTTTATGAATATTCACTAAAAGTCACAGAAACCTTATTGCAAGGACGGACAGTTATCGGACTGGTTATAGTTTTTGATAATATTTTGGTATCATATGCATCCACTTAGTTTGGCTTCCATGATGGAATATCGAGAGACCTATATAAACGATTTGTTTTTTGACCAGCTGCAGTCAATTATTTCTAATCATCTTTAAAAGGCTAAAGCTGATAAGTAGCTTCTAGGACCTTTTGGAAATAGGAATATAAAAACGTTGATTTCCACCTTGTCTAAATTCTAATATTGAGAACTAAACTTTGAACTTTTCAATTAGAAATATCGAATAAAATTCAAAATATTTGTATAAGACATATTGAGATTATCATCTCTCTACGAAATAATAAACGTAAGCAATATTTAGTCTCAGATCTTTCGGACTTGGAAAGAAAAAGAYCGTATTATCAGTCCCAGCTGATATATGGGATTGGTTTCTGTAGGATAAAAATGTCTTTTTGGAACAAAATAAAATATTTCGAAATCACCTACCCTCAATACAAGCGCAGAGCTTTCGCTTAATTAAATAAACAAGTGCAGATGTATTACATGCTTTGAAAATTAAATTTTTGGTAATAATAATAATAATTGTTTGCTTTAAATTGAAATATAATTTTATTTTTGAGAAATAATTTAACAAAAACGATAAAAGTATTCTTCACTAACCGAAAGCTTGCCGCTTTGCACCACTCGCACACAAACCAGAAAATTGCATTGTTGCCACATTTCACTACTAAGTGTAAATTTTWGCGTTTATTCTACGTCTTTGAAGCCAAAACGCATGCAATGCTTCGAATTTTCTTTTATAAATGATATATTTTTACTTAACTTGCATGTTACACTAAGTTCTAGTGCTTGCACTAATCACTCACGCTTTTATTTGAATATTTAAAAATTATTATTATTATTTTTTTTTAATACTAGTACTAAAAAAATTAATTAACAATTAATAACTACGTCTTTTTTCTTTGCATTACACAATACATATATGATTACTGAGTAATAAATAAATATTTTTATTGCTAAAAACAAAAAAATAAAAAATAAAAACAAATAAATAAAGGTCCTTGTTGAATTACAATGCTTACTAATTAATACTACAAACATTTTTGAAAAGAAAATTTAAAAATAAAACTCACAAGCATTTTGGGAAAATTTAAACATTTCAACTAATGCCTAAGTACATAGTTTGTATGTAAGTATGTAATTAAAACTATGCAGTGTTTTCGAGTAGTCATAGTTTATAGTAAAGAGCAAATTTTCTACAGAAAAAAGAACAAGTGTTTGTGTCTGATCTTTAGAGGGGTGGAGAAAGACTAAAACGAGCGTGGAGCGTAACTAAGTACGTATAATGTATATATGTATTTATGTACTATGTACGAATATGTATTTATGCAGTAATTACTTATTTTTGTAATTATTGTATTTTTGTAAGTATTGTAAACAAAGTAATTGTAAATACACAAATACTTGAGTATGTATGTCTTTCTTGGAGACGTGGACGTTGTAAAAATGTGTTTGTTAACACCAACAGCGCATTCCCGGGGAGAAAACTATTTCAAACGACAAATATAAGCCAAAACAAGTAATGTATGTATATATAAAAGAGTGTTTGGTGCACTCTATATTCAATGTAGTTCGGTAATGCATTATACGCTTTTGAAATAACAATTCAGCAGGAGGTGTGCTTCGTATTATTGATGCATTACCTCAAATTAATGTGGATAATACTATAAATTACTTTATGTATTACCACATATTACTTTACGAAATACCAATAATTACTTTTTGCATTACCGYAAGCTGTTTTAAGCATTACCTAAAATTACTTTTTGAACATTATGCATTATGACAAATTACTTTGGCCAATACAAAACATTGCTTTCTGAACATAATTATGCAATATTGCAGTACCATACATTACTTTATAACTTTATGCCCTCGCCCAACGGAATGCACTGTTATATAGGTTTATCTTGGTGTGTGTGTACCATTTTTACTTTCAGTTTTTGTAAGTTAGTGTGTGCCTTTGGGGGTTACTTGGACCTACACTCTATCTTTCTACGATTTGTGCACATATATTATTTGTTGTTATTGCTTTGATTGGGCATGCAACATGTTTTGGTTGTTCGGTTGATGGCATGCAATAAAATTTCAGGTTTACACTGATTTTCTCTTGTTCTTGTTGTTGCTGTACATTTATATGACAACGGTGATTTGATATTTGTATTTGTTTTTGTTGTTGACATTGCAGTTGGAGTTGCATTTGACTGGTTGGGGTATGTTGTGAGAGTTTTGGTTTTGGTTTTTGTTTTTGTTTCTCAAACTTTTTTACTGGTTTATGCTTATGTTTTTGTTTTTGTTTTTGTTTATGCATTTGCAATATTCGAGCGAAAAATTGCAATTGCGCACGAATCTGTATTTGATTGAGTAAATATAATATGAATGAGAGCGCTGAGATCATGATGTAATGGTGTGATGAACCATTTTGCAATAAATTTTTACTAGAATTGCACATATCTTCCTCACAAAAGCACATATGTCCATTGCCTGAACTTTCCATCATGCACACATGATCGACCATAAATAAATTTATTTGCAATTGCGACGTACACATACGTCGTACAACTTCGTAGGCTGTAATTCAACAACATTATTGCCGAACGAATGCGCCGATAGAGAGGGTGGGAGAGAGAGAGAGAGAAAAAGAGAGCGTACATTATATTGTTGTTTGGTAAGTAATTCTAAGTAATCATTATCTAATTAGCTTACAGCTACTGTAGCACCGCTAAAATACTCATAAAAACTGTTATTTTTAAGCATTACATTAAAGTCATTATTATATAGTCGTTGTTTGTTTGGCACTTACGTGATTTCGAATGCCGCACCATTTTCACACAACAGCCGTTGCAGGTCATCAGCGGCGGTTGATCACGCGGTAGCGCCGTGTAGTTGAAGGGATCCTTGCAGCGTGCATCTGTCCATGAGTCGCATTCATAGCAGTAAATCGAGCGTGCTGCGCATGCGCAGTTAGTGATTTGTAAAGAAAAATTTAATTGTATTAGCAAAGGCTTTGAGCAATGTTTTCAAAGTAGATCGTGGCTATTTTTTAATTTTTTTTTTAATATCAATTTATTTTTATTTTAATGCAGTGCAAAACATTGACATTAATATTTTGACATTGCAACAACAACTACGAAAATTATACACAAAGGAACGCCTAAAGCAAAGCAAGCGAAATGAATTTTTAAGATTTCTTACAAACCGTGCAAAAGCCCGGATTTATATTAGAGTATATAATATACGATATATACATATCTACATATATACATGTAAGGGCGTGGTTAATATTTATTAAATAATATTTAATAGTTCAAGCAACTAAATATATTTACAAAATAATAAAAAAATTCAGCTTAACTTCCATCATACTTCGATAATTTATTTTATTAAGGAGCCTTACGCCCTGTGTCTTCTCTAGTGACTCTCACATTTTTAAATGTCGCATTTCTTTATTTGTTACATATGAAAAAAGTTCTTTAAGGAGTTATTATTAATGATGAAGAATTAAAAAAAAAGAAAGATGTTTAGAGAGATATGGGCTTCACATCTCGCACAATTCCATTCGAATGATTTTGTGGATTTTTTGTGTATAAAAGCATTCTTACTCGACTCGTCCCGATAAAGATGAATTATTTTTAAAAAGAATAGTGTAAACAGGTCTCTTTGGGCATGTTTTATCGCGCAAATTCTGATCCCAAATTCATGGAGAGCATTGCACTTGCAAACAAGCCAACAATCATCGAAATGGAGGCGAAAAATGTGCAGAAATCAAGAAAACCAAAGTTGCTCAAAAATTGAGGTTATGCTCGTTGCTTTTTCGACACTCGTGGTTGTTTGCATCATGAATTTGTACCCGAGGGACAGACGGACAATAAGGWGTTCTATTTGRTCATATTGAGGCRTTTCCGTGAGAAGGTCYGTAGAAAACGGCCGGAATTGTRAAAGAACAATTCATGGATTTTACACGACGATAATGCATCATCGCATSGAACCAAGATTGTGATCAAATTTAAAGCTAAAACGCAATTAATACTTTCGTTCARCCACTGTATTCACCAGATTTGGCTACGTGTGAWTTTCTCTTGTTCCCCAAAYTGAAATTACCGCCCCGTAGAACCCGTTTTCAGTCGAATTTCCAAAAGAATGGAAGTGAATGGAAAAAGTGTTTCGAGATCTGGAAAAATCGCTGTCTTAAGTGTATTACATCTGGTTGGGATTACTTTAAAGKCGACTAAATAAATTTTGAAGAATAATTAAATATTTTGYGTTTTATTTACAATTTCCGSATACCTTTCYAAAAAGTAAATTCTTTGGGAACTTTTTAATGAGAATGTAAGCTGCCGTTCAATTTTAGTTACATAAAAAAATTTAATTTTCTTCTAGAAAATAATTAATTTACATTTAGAATTATTAAAACCATTTAAAAATACAAAAAAAAAAAGAATTAATTAAAAAAAATGAATTGTATTCTCACCCGTTAAGTCAAGAAATTCGACAATCGCGCCTTTTTCTCTTATTCGAAGAATACAGAATTTTTTATGCTTTCTTCAATCGCCCTAAACACAATTACACACAAATACTATTGAAAATATTACTTTATTGAAGTACTCTATTCCTTCTATCATAATCACTWTGAAACTGTGAAAAATGCTTCTACTTTTCGCTATCATATTATTTCGAAGCAAGAAACCACTTAATATTGCGAAACCATTTCAACATAACGGTAATTAAGGGTTAGTGCAACATGCTTATACTACATTAGGATATWGTACATAAAAATATCTACATACATATGTATATACTGACATGACATAAGCATTAGCAAAGACAATGCACAATAGTGAAAAGAAAGATTTTGAAAATTCAAAGCAAGTAAGAAAAACTTATTTTTAATTTATTGAAAAAGCAAGTTTGTATGATACATACTTATGATAAATCTAAAAACTTTGTTGTGAAACTATAAACTACAAAGTTATATGTATTCAGGAAAAGTAAAAAAAAAAAAACTAAAACAAAAATTGTAAATAGTTTTAAAGCTTTTTTCGTAAGTGTAATTTTATTACTATCGCAACTAGTTTTGAATGCTTAACGAGAAATCAAAAATATATCCATATTGTTTAATTTGATGCGGTTCATTTCAACCACCGCCAGATAAAATTTTTAAGAGCAAAAAATTTAGAAATTTTGTAAAATATACAAAGACTACACTTATTTTAGAAGGTATGCACTWGTTCTGAGAGTAAAAAAGGATCTAAATAAATAAAAAAGGGCTAAGTTCGGGTTCAACCGAACATTTTATACTTTTGCAACTCGCTGGAATCATAACTTTAAGATGCAAAGAGTCAACTAGAGCATATATAGTTATTCATACACTGACCGGCATATTCGACAAAAGGTTCGTTAGAAAAAAAAAAAAACGAAAGTCATTATACATACATATCTAGTATAGTACTTGGGAATAGATTTTTACGCATACTACAAACCATTAATATGCCACATAATAATAAAATGTTCTTTGAGACTCATTAAGGTACTATCACCAATCATATACAGTAAAGTCATCCGGATTCTATATGTCTGTAATACGGGGCTAAGTCAAGTTGTCGCCCCATTTTATCCATTTAAGGCACAAAGATAGCTTATTATCAGAAAAAACGACCTCTCATTTTCATAGAGATAACTCATATGTTGGCCGATATATGCTGTATAAAATCACCCGGAACTATGGACACGATTTAACCAATTTTTCACAMACAGCCATACCACTGTCCGGATAAGATAATCCTATAATTTCAATTATAGGTACTGCGTCGAAATATTTGATCCTTAGGTGTTTGAACTTTTTTTTTTTTTGGATTTAAGCATCATGTTGCAAGAGTATAAAAAGGTACATATATTTGGCCACAAATCTCAACCGCCCAATCAGTTTTCAATGGAAATTTCTTTAAAATCGAAGGAAAAGAAATAACTCAATATGTATGCCAATTAAATCAAAGATTATGAAGAAATCATATATGTTAGTTTTATTTTATTTATGACATGTGTTCTGAAATCAAGGGTTGACAGATCGCTAAAACAGATTAAAATATTAGTTGAAGGGTTATGATTTGTGACCATTAATATTAAATAAATTTTAAAAATAAATGTTGGTTATTTTAATTCAAAGTATAAGTGATAATCTTCAAAATGTCTGTTTTGTAACAAAGATGTTTAAATGTGTTTTGGACCGTTCGCGATATCGATACATTATAGGGTATATCAATTGAACTGAAATTCAGGTTATTTTATGCATCATAAAAAATATTGATATTAACGAACTTTCCTTCCGGGCTGAATTGATAATATAGGGTATATTTTAAAGATTAATAATATAATTAAAAAATATCATGTGAAGATTTTCAGAAGATATACCAGCTTCAAATTTATTGTCGTTGGCGTTTTGAGCGCCGAAGTTATTGTTATTGGCATTTGTAATACTCTTATGAAGCTGATTACGGAGCAAACATTGAATCAATGGTGAGCACAATTAATTAATTTCCACTTGTCGCTGTCCGAAGTCAATACTAATAGTGAGAGGAYCAAGGTAAAGGCATGAGAAAGCTTAAAAATATACGGATCATACACTTCTGTGCTTGTTTTTTAATAGCATCGGTGCATAACATTGTATACTTTCAGAAGCCAGATCATAACTGGGCGATATCCAGTGAAGAGCTGTTATGGGGGATTCTATTCTAGAATTAAAAAAAATCGATTTTTTTCATATATTTAAAGTTTAGACCCTTTAGAACATATCCTCCAAAGGATTTTTAAAAATTAAAATTATTTTARGAGCTACAGTTACTTTAGTGACGCAGTACCTAGTCCGGTAGGTAGGTAGACTTACTTTTTTAAACGCGTTTTTCTCGAAACTACCGGTACCGCCATTATCTCAAGTTCTATACAACCGATTTACTTGAAATTTATTGAATATTTTAAAAAAATTCAGGAATTTCAAAAAAAAGGCGTAAAAAATTATTTTTATTTTCAGGCAGTCGCCATTTAAAAAAAAAAATTTTCGTGTTCCCTGAAATAGGGACTATAACAGCATCCTTACTGATTAAGAATTACTTTTGATTTTTTTTTTCAGACCACCAGGAGAGTCAGGATCAATGTCACCAGGATGCGCCATTTTTTTACACCTGTCTCTCCCCCCCCGTCTAATTATTTTAATTTTTTTGTAAAATTTTTTTTTCTGCATTCTTAAGATATCAATAAAAACACCATAAAAAAAATGGATGGTAAAAATATTTTTGGTTTTTTTGAAATAAAATTCAAAAAACTGGGCAAAATTTGATTTCTAGAGTAGAATACGCCCTTAAGGCTACTAATGGATACACACTTTCAGAGCAGGTCTGAAAATCTGCCATGTGTGTAAATACACACATTACACATAAGGCAAGGGTCCCACAGTTATATTTAAGTTTGGTTAGCAACCGTACTTAAAGTAGAGTTAGACTATATTCCCGAATTACGGAGTGTAGTTAAAGTAATAGAATACTAAAAGCAAGTAAACGCCCTCGTACAAAAACAAAGCGTGTCAGATTAACTAGTTTTTCCTCATTAATATTGAAAACGTTGGAAAGAATATAAAAATACATATAAGAAACAAATTAATCTCAGAAAACTGGCAAAGAAAAAACCGTAGAAACAGCACTAACGAGGRTGGTACTAGGCCTTTATCTTTGTAAAATGCTTCGCTCTACACAGCAGTTCTAAAGTCRATTATGACGTACCGTATATTGGAATGGTGGGCAATTTGAAATCACCAAAATCTCTTAGGGTTTTATCGCAGATTGTGAAGAAATGACATGACCTCTTAGTGGATGTAACATTCTATTTCATCAAGSAGATGATTTAGCGAGAGCGGCAACCATCCTACAATTATTTTCCGAGAATACTATATATGTCTCTAGGAACTTGTAGATATTTATTCGGCAGACATGTTGTGGATTAGATGGATTCAATTCCTTACTTGCTCAACAAACAGGCAAAAATGGCATGAATGGAACATGGGTCGCACGTGTCGACGATTAAAATTCAAAAGGACTGACAAAGAAACTCTAGTAGGAGTAGATAGAACATAATAGAGTGAGGTTTTTTCAGTCCCGGTAGTTTCACAATGGGCTTCTTAAAGCATTTCGTSAGATATTCAGCCTATCTGCCTACCTATATATTATATGGATCTGTATAATAAAGCACCCTTTACGTATTATTTAATAATTAAATCTGCATTCAAGATGCTYAAYTTTTCTRTAATTTKCAGGATTTCAGTCTTAYTKGAGATTAKGGCTAATTCTCTTACTTTCCAGAGYTCTATTTTTCAGTAGTCCAGCCTCTGAAACTCTCCTTCTGTACGGAAGTTTATATTTATTTATTATTCAGTTCATTTGATTTACTCTATCATAACGGAAAAATASTTTTAGTTTTGTTAGTTGTTTTCGGAATTCAGTGTAAAATGGCAAATAGTTGTTCAAAAGAGAATATCAACATATAAAAATATTTGGAAAGCAATGCAAGCATTTTACATTTAGATAAAGAAATATGGTTATAATAAAAATGCGTTTAAAATATTCGTWAACTTAAAAATCTTGTTTGTATGAAGTGTGTGTGTGTGTTGGAATTTATGTGTAGGTATTTTTACTTATACTATTTCAACACGAAAAGCTTTAAACACTTATTATATCTTGCGCTAAAAATTGTATTTTTTGTTTTAATATGGGGATATACGCTTTTTTTTGTAATTTAAGTCAGAAAAAACACAATTATATTAATTTATTTATATTTGCATTTGTCGCATAAAGAAAAAAGAGCGATAATTTTAATTGAAAATGTATAATTTGTTTGTTTGGCAATTGGAAAGAAAATGTGACATATGCTTGAGGTATGAATTCATACTTTGACATTCAGCTGACACTTGTGGAATCCAAATGAAAATGAGAACTCCAAATGCCGCTGTAAAGAGTAAAAAAGAAGAAGAAGAAAGACCAATATTTTTTTGTTGTTTTTTGGTTTTGCATTGCATTTAATTGAGAGAAAAGATAAAATAATGCATTTAATAAGGTATTATAAAAAGAGTTGATTTTAAAGATTTAATTATTATATTATTATTTATTTGCTGCAAATTATTTTAAGCACGAGTAGACAAAAGATTTTATCATTTTCAATATTTTTAATAATTGTTACTTATATTAGATCAAATACACATGTAAAGCACACTATTATTGTATTAACCATTTGCATACTGTAGTAAACAACTTATAAATATTTTACGAAGTCGTTACAGTTATCAATATATTAATTTCCGAAGAGCGGTGCCATCAATTCGATTTAAAGAGTTACTCATTTAAGGAACTTGAAACTGAATAAAGAGAAAATAACTACGCAAAGAATGTGACCGGGGCGCCATGATGCTAGTGTAGTTAAGTTGATTTTCCAAAAATATGTCTGATCTAGTGAAATTTAATGCAGATTTTTGTAACCATTTGACAGATGATATAATACGATTTTGAATTAGTATTATTTTAGACTTCTAGGTTACACAGGTCTATGGAATGAATTACTTGTTTGGCTTGTAATTTTTTCTTGAAAACAGAAAATGAGTACTTTATTAGCAGCATTCATGCTCTCATCTGACCTTGTTTTTACATTGTTTTCCGTCGTTTGGAGCCAAATCGTTAAAGTTTAAGTGATATGGTTTCAGYTTACCCGTGTGTTATAGTACGAAAAAAGTAATAAATGTAGATATAGGAGGACAATTAGCATTAAACATGAACTATCCGTTATCTATTTTATATAYAGCGTCGGGCATAATAAGACCAGTCCCAGACCAGTAAAAAATATTCTATTCCAACCATTGAGAAACTCAAATAATATGTACATATTATGGTTGGCTTCAGTAAATATAATTTTTACTAAAAAATTCAACTCTTAAATGTATGGTGAATTACGTTGGGAGATGACAAAATAATAAGACACTCCAAGTTATCGATTAATGCAATTAAAACAGAAGGTAAAATGTATATTTTGTTAAATAGCCATAGCACAGCTTGGTGCTTTTTTGGCATTGAGCCCTCTAGGGCTACACAAGTAGGCTAGGGTTATGGAATACTAAGCTTATTAGGCATTTCTCCGCAATCTTCTTTATTTTTGCAACTTGCGCTTCAAATCTTTTTCTTGCCAATTCTCATTTAGTTCTCTATTGGATTTAAGTTTTATTACGAATGGAGATCTATTTTATTTATTATAAATAGTTTCATACAAGGGCCGATAGTTATAATTTCATTGACTATTAATAAAAAAAAACCTATATTTCTTTTATCCAATACAGGACCCACATGGTATCCGGACAACCATCCCCTTATGACGCTCCTACCTTCATTATAACAAGGTTTTACTATATATTTGGGGTTAATTGATGCAGGCAYCTGAATGCCTTACCCAACGTTTAACTAACTTTAGCTTACTTTCGTCTGTCCGTAGTAAGTTATACATCCGGAAAGTAATAGGACTTATTTTCTTCCGTCGCGACTGTACTAGATTAGACAGGCTTACCAAATGTTGCTTTAGCAAAAAGTGGTGTGTTTCGGTGGCACCAGAYCTTTTTGAAGAGCCGGGAAGAGGTCGGTGATGAAGATCGTGCTGGGAGACCTGACTCGTRTGCTCAAGATTTGRAACTCAGACCGTCGACTAAGTATTCGTTTAATTGCCCAGATGTTAAMTTTATCAAAATCTATGGTTCATGAAATTGTGAAGGAGTACTTGAACATGCGAAAGGTGTGTGCRAAAATGACGACAAAAAAGTGCTCACTGACGGCGAGTGAAAGTGGACCAAGAAAATTTTAATGTGTATCCCAGATGTGGCCCTCCGGACTTTTCTTTGTTTCCACAGGGGATTCAAGCAGCATGCACCTCGGCTCTCAAGGCTATTYCGGAGAATACYTTTTACGAGTATGAAGCCTTCAATGACTGGAAATCGCGCTGGCAGCGCTGCATCGACGAAGAAGGAGCCTATTGTGAAAGKTATTAAAGAATTGTAACGATTGGTTCAATAATATTTTTTTTAAATCGACTCAGTCCAAACCCTATTTTCCTATCTTGCGAGCTACAATTCTTCGACCGCCTTACGCATTTTTATTTTAAAGTGTTAATTTATTGTCACTTAATGTCTTGGATTTTTTTAGTTCGTCTCTTTTAAGGCTTACCGATACTATAATWATTAAATTGGCAAGCTTTTTGCTGTCTGGTTGGGAGTTTCTCAAAAAATTATTTTACTGCAGAGTTTCTTACTTCTTCTTTCCGCATGAGCTGCCAGCTTATCGCTTAAAAAATAGTTTAATTATAACGAGGCTCTTTAAATATCATTTCCAATTTAATATTATTGAGTTAACAGTTTTATTTTTTGTCCGACACTTTATGTTCTCAACTGTTACGAACACGCATTCTCATATGAGTATAACTTAAAAATATTTATTAGAAGCACAGTGCCTTTCCTCGGCATAGAAGTATTTGAGAACAAACCTTTTTATTGGAGCGTGGTTAACGATATAAATATAACATCTGTTTACGAGAAGTCTTCTTGTACCTCATACATATCAAGCTCTTAAAAGTAAAAAAAAAAAAAAAACACGACTAACTGGCGGTAAATTCATAGTAAACTACCCAAAATGAAAACTTTTACGATAGACCCGCACATTTTTACCAACTCGCTCTTCTTCTTCTTCTTAATTGGCGTAGACACCGCTAACGCGATTATAGCCGAGTTAGCTCGCTCTACAAATATTATTAACTCAAYCTTAAAGTCAATAAATAAATAGATATATAATTTCTGTTCAGAAAATATGTCACTAATCAAAAATTTAAAAAGTCAAAAACTGTAAAAGAATATACAGTGAAAATAAACGAATGATGGCAACGAGTAACGAGTATACATGAGTGGAGGCACTTTAACTATACAAATTTTTATACACAGAATTCAGGTGTGCAATGGACGTATACACATGTATGTATGTAAGTAAGAATTGTWTTGCGCTAGTACTGGATTGAACGCATGTCCTAGCGAGTGGCGTACAAGAAGTGAGTGAAAGCACAATACTTTTTTGGCTTAGCCAGTTAGAGATACATAGATGTATGCATGTTTGTAAGTAGTTTATGATATTTCATTATAATGACAATTTACTTCAATTCGCAAACATTTACAAGATGAAGGCAACGCAACGAACGAGTCAATATCAACGAGTTAACGAATTAACGAGCGAACCAATTAACGAGTAAATCAGTAAAAGGCTTTGCGCTTGCTTTAAGTTAGTTGCAAGATTTCATTTTTTTTTGCTTAGTATAAAATAAAAAGTAATTATAAAGAAAGTGGGACAAACCCGAAAAGAAATGTGCACTTGAGAATGCTTGTTCAATGAAATAGTTTAGTTAAGGYTTCTAAAGAAATTTTACGCAAACGTCAGTAACTCCAATTAGTAATTAGTAATATTTAACTAGTTGTCAACAAGTGTATACACACATTTCTCTACGTGTTCCATAAATTAATAAACATCTTTCGTAATTTCAACTCAAAATTTCGGCAACTAGCGCATTTAATGCCTAATTCGTTATAAATTTTCAAATTTTAAAATTAGTACAGAAATTAATAAATAAATAGTTAATTTAGTGTTTGCTAATTAATTACAGTTTGCTGGCAGTTTTAGAATTTCTTTTAACAAAATGAAAACAAAAACAATTTTATTTCAATTTACTACTTTTGCACTTACATGGAAAACAATTGTCCGCCATTAYATTTTTCGCACAAATCAGCACAACTGATTGGTTAACCGGAAGAATTTCGGATAATCAATTCAAGTTTATTTTAATTTTGGTATTTTTTCGAACGCCGATGTAGTAAATGATGATTGGTGGAACAGAAAAAAGTACAATAAAAAAGGAAAATTAGAAATAATTGAATTTTGATAAACTTCAATTTGAACACAAAATAATTATTTTAATTTTTTATATAACGTGATTTCTAATGAACTGAAACTCATGTAACAGCATAAAACTTTTAATAAATACACTGAGAAAAACGTCATAGATTAAACGTAMTTTCTGATTCAAGTATATTATATACTGGTCTATTAAAAATAAATCCATTACTTCCATTATCCTAATTAAACGATTTATTTATCATTGTTAGAACTAACCGATTTAGGTAAAATATACATATACCGTTTTTTTCATAACTTATGGCCATTTTGAGCGTATTTCATAATGTCACTCGCATAGAAACTCGCATCCATTTTTGGTGCTAGATCCGGCCTATAAGGTGGATTAGATAAATAGATGAGGATTGTATAGCGACCTAAGGCTTATTGTGCCCTTATAAAGTGGATACATAAAAACTTTTTTATCATCTCCGAAGCTTTTGACGACTCACTTTCGATGTTGCCTGATTGAACAATATTCCTCTCATATTAAGTCAAGCTAACTGCTTTTGGGCAGTTGCTTAATTCAGACGGGTGAATTGTTGACAGTACAGGACCGAATTAAGAGTTAGGCGTAGGATAGCAGCTCATAGCAGCTGATACCCTATCAGTCTAACCAAGCACATGGCAAAACCTTCCTGATCTCCAATCCTGACAGAATACCGTTTTCGTAAGCACATCCTGTTTCGTCCACAACCGTTTTCGGTTGAAGTTGTTGTAAAGACACAGTTTTCATTACCAGAAAAGCTTCAAAAATGGTGCGATTCAACAACGAGTCGCGAAGGAAATCTTGTCCAGTAGGTTTTTGGGTGTTAGCTAGTATGGCAGACATAAAGTGAGCTTCTGTTTGTATCCAGCCTTTTTTAAATTGTCGCAGTCGGTTTCTTAAGCAATATTTAACTTCTACGCAATCGAAGCAGTGCTTACAGGCGGTGGGATTCAACAATTTTTTCGGCCACGAGTCTTCCATAGCGTTATGCATCTTTT